GGGTTATTTGGCCCGCTGATGCCGAATATCACATTGGTTTTGTACGGTAGCTCATTTTCTGGGGTTACGGTGGGTGTACGGTAAAGGGTCAAAATCACAGAATTCGCTGAAACTTGGCCTAGGGGGGTTCTTCGGCCCGCTGATGCCAAATATCACATTGGTTTTGAACCGTAGCGTCATTTTCTCGAGTTAAGGTAGCTACATGGTAACAGGTGTAAAACATAGTTCTGCCTGAAACGGGTGTACGGCGATTCGACGATCGTGAAGCTTTGCACACACGACCACCACCACGCGATACACTCTCTGCTGCGGCTTTTGCCTAAGCAAAGCATAGGGGAAAGATACTTGCCGATTTTCGTTTTCGACCCTTACCATAAACCTACCGTAACCATGCAGGGAAACGTTTTTGTGCGGAGAAAGTGTGACATTTCTGATCAGGATGTTTAATGACCCCTCTGTGCGAAGCTGCAACGGATTTTGAGGTTTTGACCCCCTACCGTTTACCCACCGTAACCCGAGAAAATGACGCTACGGTACAAAGCCAATGTGATATTCAGCATTAGCGGGCCGAATAACCCCTCTGGGCCAAGTTTCGGGCAAATCCGTGATTTTGACCCCCTACCGTAATCTTACCGTAACTCCACCGGATGGCGCTATTGCATGAAATAAACATCATATTTGTGTTCAGCATACCAAATAACCCCCCTGGGCGAAGTTTTAGCGAAATCCACGACAAAACAATTTTGGGGCCGGATACTGGAATAGCGCCTCCTAGGGTTATTTCATACTGCAGTCGCTGCAGCAACTGCAGTCACAATGGGGCGGGCAAAAGATATTGATCGATCGACGGTCGGTGCTGCAGCGACTGCAGTATGAAACAACCCCTAGGCTGCCAAAAAGATCCGTTACAAGCCCTACTCTGTTCGATTGCGCATCGAATACTCAAAGAATGTGCTCACAGTCTACGTTGACGATGGTATGCAGCAAACTACGAGATAGCTTTGCATGAGGACCGGCCCGCCGCCCGTCACCGTCGGCTCACTACGCGCCGCAGTCCGCGTCGCACTGAAACTGATCATTGAAGCGCGTTTTTGCGCTGGCGTTGAAAATATGCAAAAAGAGTTAGCACCATGCTAGTACCCATCACCACTGTTCATCACTTTGTAATCACCTAGCATAGGCACATCTGCCCGAAAAGGACGAGGTCCACGGCAAATCCATGGCCTCATGCCGTATACCTTCCAGAACTCTACGAAGAAGCCTCGTTATGCAAAGATAAGTACCTATGCTGTTTGTGTTTAGCATACCAGATAACCCTCTTAGACCAATCAAAGCCAAGTCTGTGGTTTTGACCCAGACACACAATGCAAGAAAAAAGTAAGTTGTCGGAAAATTTTCGTAAATAACGTGTGGGAGAATGGCCATCTATCGTGTTCCAGCAAAAATCACAGCTTTGAAATTTGAGACCTGGATGTTAGGGATCGTTCAGACCGCGCCTGTACCCGCCCAAATACGCCCAAATACGCCCAAATACGCCCAAACCCGCCCGAATACGTCCAAATACGCCCAAATACGTCCGAATACGCCCAAACCCGCCCGAACGCCGAAACTGCCAATGCGCAGCAAATTGCATGCAAATTGGCATATTGGAGCACGCGTGGAATACTGCGTGCGTGGTGCATATATGGTAGCCACACGTAGCTCGACGTTACATACCGATTTTCATATGCGACTAGCGGGATTACAAAGATCAATCGACTTTGCGTCTGTTTTTATTTCTTCTCATGTTTGCTGACTCTAGGTGAGTTTTAACTTTCGTGCTGTGCGTTTTCTTGTTTTTTCGGGTTTTTTCCTTTCTGCTCCAAGTGAAAGTGCATCTGCGTCTGTGTGTAAGTACAGTAGGTGGGTATATATTGTTTGTGTGAGTGTGTGTGTGCATGTGTGTGAGTGAGAATGCCGTAGTGTGCGTATGCGTGTGTGTGTTGTGTATGTGTGTGAGTGTGTATGTGTAGATATGAGCGTGAGTGTCGATATGAGCCGCCGAGTCGTGTGAATAGGACATTTGCACCACGCACGCAGTATTCCACGCGTGCTCCAATATGCCAATTTGCATGCAATTTGCTGCGCATTGGCAGTTTCGGCGTTCGGGCGGGTTTGGGCGTATTCGGACGTATTTGGGCGTATTTGGACGTATTCGGACGTATTTGGGCGTATTTGGACGTATTCGGACGTATTTGGGCGTATTTGGGCGGGTACAGGCGCGGTCTGAACGATCCCTTAGAATAGCGCCAATCTCATGGATGCGGAATGCTTGCACATTGCTATAGGGGCCTGCAGGATTGCGAGAGTCGGACGTGCGTACGACCATTGCGCCGCGCACGTCCGATGTCACTAAGGCAAGTGCCAGACTTATCCACTTCAGCCGTTCGTTCCGTTCATAGGTCAAATCACTACACTGACTAACAGCAAAGGTGGTGAACCGAATGAACCTGTTCAACAGGATAAGTCTGGCACTTACCTGGGCCGTCGCACGCAGTTCTGACGTGCGCGGCGCAATGGCCGTACGCACGTCCGACTCTCGCGATCCTGCAGGCCCCTATATATAAAACCCCACCATCCGCTCAAGACTAGTGCGGGAAAAGGGGCTACACAACACGTGATCCTACCAGGGAAAACAGACTAAACAGCACAGCAACTCTATATTTCCACATCGCTTTACTAGTCATCTTCAGACAATGAGCGTGAATTGTGAAGCCTACAAGTCGTAGATGTTCATCCTTGTTGCGATGTCTGTTGCGAAAATTTCTCGTAGCGGATTTAGTGAGATTACTGTGACTTAATGAATGCGATAGTCTCGTTTGATAGGAAGGTATCGCCTCAAAACCACATTTAGCGACGTGTAAACCAATAGTTTTGGATTGGTATTACTGCCAGAACTCTGCAACGGATGAAGCTGATGAATTTATTGACAAATTTGGAATCCCGCTTAGGCCATATTCCCGTGACTGGACAAGCATGTGAGTGGACAGAGCCATTGCTCTAAATTTGCATACTATACTGACATCCTATCGTCCAACATGCCCACCATAAGGCCTTGTCTTCTTGGTGTGCAGAGTGAGTCTAATCCGGACCGCGCAAAAAAAGATCGTGATCTCAGCAACAGATTGCAATATTTTTATACATGTTCTATCCACTCTAAGGCTGCGTTCATACTGATTTCGTAATCCGGGAACAGTCTCAGCACAACGCTAACTTTGAGCGCTGTGCTGGAACTGTTCCCGATTTCGGGATCAGTATGAACGCAGCCTAATAATAAGAAGGTGACAATCAAAAATGGAGGAAAATTTTCGTCTGTGTAGACTCATGCCTATCTTCACTGCATGGTCTCTCCTTACTGCCTGCTCATATTTTACGTTTGACCCATAGTTGTGGTAGAGGCAATTGTTTGGCGTCTACCATGTGACACAAAAGCACACGAGGCAAAGTGATCGACTTGTTTGGCCAACAATTCCGCCCAACGGAGCCATAACGAAATCTACGCACAGAAATAACGTTTAAAAAGCACTTTCCGTTTGGTAGCTTATAACAATTGCGCAAAATTCTCATGTTCTTAATGAAACAAGTATACGAGTGCACGCGTCGCCTTTGAGCCGCGACGCGTACTGAGCCGACGGTGACGGGCGGCGGGCCGGTCCTCGCTTTGCATGAGGTGATAGCAGTATTTTCGTCTATCATATGCAGCACATGGGGGACGTTTCTAGAGCCAAAAACATCGTTTTGCCGCGTAACGGTTGTTTCGGAATTTCCGCAGCCACTGGGCCTTGCTGGTACTTCTTTCCTATTCGTAATTGATGTTTTCCAACAGTCATTTGATTATGAGCCATTTACCAGAACCACGATTTCGTTGACTTTTTCTTCTATTATTGTTCATTTGGGTGCATATCATTCTGACTGTATCAAGTCGGATACTAATGTGATAAACTTTCAAACTTCCTTTGTCTGCTGCTACACTTTTTTTGAATGACAGTGATGTAGTAAAGTCAAAGAGAGCACTGATTTTCAGTAGAATTAGATTACGTGCAATGTGTAAAGTGTTGTGCAATTGCATGAAATCGCGTCGGAGGTATGCACGCCTCCGGCCAGTGAGCGACTCAGTCGTCGCGTCCCAGTCGCCACTTTCGTGCAAGTCGTCGCGACTGGAGATCGCGCGACTTCGTCGTGTGAGCTCTGCCCAGGGCCTAATGTGGGTTTTTGGATCTAGCATTGCGGATAACCCTCGGTAAGTGGATTTTTGAAAATCAAGTTTTTGCCCGGACACTGCCGATAAATGAGAACCACGCAAAGCTAGCTGATCTGTCCGACAATGCAAAGCATGTTCTACATGAATATAATTGAGAATCCGAAATGATGTGAATTGCGAAAAATCGAGTTTTGAGCTGTAGTTTATCAAATTTACATTGTCTCGAATTGGGGTCAAAGGCTTGGGAAAAATGCGAGTGCTAGCTTTTCGCACCTACATGGCCTTTTGGGTGCGCTGAGTCCTGCTTGAAAAGTCGGAAATTGCTTTTACGGCGTCTTCCGGTCTTGAATATCGCTGGAGGGATGGGCGTGGGAAGGCCAACTGAGTCGCCAAAGCAGCATCGCAAAGGCTGCGTTATGCTGATCCCGGAATTCGGAAACAGTTCCAGCACAACGCTTGAACTGAGCATTGTGTTGTAACTGTTCCCGAATTTCGGGATCAGTATGAACGCAGCCAAAAGGACCAGCTTTCGCAGGAGGCGGCCCAAATTGGCGGAGTTCCCTATTCATGATTTTTCATTTGATCTTTATTAGAATCCTACAATAAGTTGCGAGCTGCGGCTTATACGGCAGTTCGCTTTTGTCCAATATGTCTATAGTGTAAAGTAGTTGAATTACTCAAGGATGACTACTAGACAGCTTAAAATCTGGAAAGCTTCACCATGAAGCTCTCCTTTGAACTGCGCCTTCCCGACTGGGATGTTCTTGCGTGCGGCCCTGAGCTTTCGCATTCACGCTTTGTGAATATAACATTTGTCGCATTCCTGCAGTTCTCTTTCACTCACTAGTTACTATCGAAGGCCATGGGACGGGCTTCGTTCGAGTACGATGAAGTGGGGAACACATTTTATTACGTTTTGGTCTCTTTTTACGCAATCATCTTGATTCCGGTGACTTACTTCTTCTTTCCTACTGGCAAAACGGGTGAGTAATGTTCTTACTCATTCCAACGTCACGCAGTAGCGTCTGGCATTCTTAAGGTTTTTAGAAGTAGTTGAAGTTGACGAACGGGAGTGTCAGTGTGTTGGATGCGCAAGAAAACGTCAGCTGAAAGCCGCTAATAGACCATGGAAACTCACAAAAACCATCCTAACAGTTGTGGTATGTGAAAATAGATGAACTGAATTGGCATTTTTTATTCGTATGTTTGTAGGCGTTAGTGATTGCATGGATAGTTTTTGCACTAATTGTGAAGAAGGTTACGGAAATCGAAGTCACTTATCAAGAGTATAATCCTTATCAAATATTGGGTTTGGATCAGGTACAGTATTTTAATTTGAATATAGCATCTCCATTTATCGAATTATCCTGTCAGGGCGCTGATACAGCAGCAGTGAGAAAAGCCTACCGCGAGCTTTCCAAGAAAATGCATCCTGACCGAGGAGGAGATGCGCAGATGTTTGATAAGATTGCCAAGGCATATCAGGCTCTCACTGATGAAGAATCAAGAGAAAACTGGGAAAAGTATGGGAATCCGGATGGACCGACAGGTAATCGTGATCCTTGGCTCCTTTATCACTGAGCCTGATGTTCTTTTTTAGCTACTACATTTGGAATTGCTTTACCGAAATGGCTTGTGAGCAAAGAATATGGTTTATGGGTACTTGCTTTTTATGGACTCCTGTTCATGGTTGTCTTGCCGGTGGTCGTGGTAGGTTTTTTGACATGAATATCTCTCCTTTTTATAATGGTGTGATGTGATTGTAGGGGGTATGGTGGTATAATTCAATCAAGTATAACGTTGACAAGGTCCTACTCGATACTACACAGCTTTACTACTATTTTCTGCACAAGACACCAAAAATGGAAATAAACCGTGCGTTGCCTAGTATTTTCTATTTTGTTCACGTTTCTGAAGTTTCATTTTTTATAATTTCTATATTAGGGATGTTGATGTTATTGGGAGGGTCGTTCGAATTCTGGAAACAATATAATAAGGACATCGTTGAAAGAGAGACAGATGACGTGGAACTTACCAGGTGCGCACAATAATGTGTCTCTCTTATTCGATTATAAACTTTGTTGCAGGCGTATGAAGTCACTTCCAAACCTTGGAGAGAACAAGAAGGAAAGACCGCTATCGCTTCCATATTCACTGAAAACCCGGATTTTGATCCATTCGTATCTCACACGCATTCCGCTCGATAACGACGGACTTGAGTTTGATCAACGGTACATACTCCCGACTCATCACTCTTTTTTCGGTTTACTGCTAAGATTTGTTTCATATAGTTCGAATCCCGATCTTGCTGGCAATTGCCGAAAGTGTTAACGGTGTTGCAGGTGTTACTCGCAAGTGTTCGCTTGGGGCTCCCTTGCTTACATATTTCATACTTCATAAGAAACTTGATTTTGCGTCATCGATTGCACCTCATTGTTTTTCTTGTAACTGACGTTCCTGCCTTCATCACCAGTGCAGTTTTCCCTCCAAACCTTTTTTTTCCTGAGGTTTCTATCTGATTGCCGGCATAGCTGTAACTCGTAACAAGAAGCTTTTCCTTGAGAGCTGCTTGCGTATACTAGTGTTTTTGCTACTGCCACTATCTATGAGATTTACCCGGAATTGATTTAAGGCCAATGTCCTGGCAAAAAGCTGATTCTGAGTTTTTGTGCTCACCCGGGCGTATACGCTCTGCTGAATCGAAAACCTACTCTGGAGAGCGCGAAAACGGCGGAAACAGCTCTAACGCAGGAGGGAATTCAGCAGGGAGCGGGGTCTTCCCCACCGTAAATTCACGCTCCCAGTTTGGAACGATCTTTTTGATTCCACTAGCCGCCTTAACATCGCCACCGGCCAAGTGCGAACGCGTGGTTTGAAGTCGGAACCGAGAAGGCTGCTAAGAAAGCTGAAAGCGTATAGGCTGCTGCATGATGAAGACGCAATTTTTGGGCGCGAACGCGGCTTTATTAGCCGCAGAGTGCAAGGCGCAGCATTCACAACGGTAATTCGCGCGCATCGCGTTCGCGCCCGCTCAACAGGTAGGGGGATGAACTCCGCCAGTTTGAACCGCATCCGCGGACTACTGGTCCTGCAACGACATGCAAGAATATAGCAAAAGAGCCAGTTGCCCTGCGAAGGAGGACTCAAACTGGAGTTCGGAGTTCGTTCGCTACCCCTTGCTCAACTATCACTGCTTCTGCGCCTTCGTCATGCAGTAGCCTTTGAACTCACGGTAAAGAAGACCGCCCCTCCCCCTCCCCACCTGCTGATTTTCATTCTGCGTTAGAACCCCTTTTCGCGTTTTTGTAATCTTCAGTGTGGCTTTTGGGATTCAGCATGGGGAAAGGTACACGTAAGCACAAAATCTCAAAGTCGACTCTTTGCCCGGACGCTGCCTTTAACGGCATCATGCTGAAGCCAATTCTGAGCTTTTCAGCGCTTGAAAACGGCAAACGTGTTTGCGTTCGCTCGAAATTACGTGTAAGAAGTGGGGGAAGTCCGGAAGTGGGTGGGGGGTCCGGAAGACCGGAGCGGATTTTGGGCTTTCCAGAAGCGCTCTTTTCGTTCCAGTCTTCACTGATAGACTAATTGGAGGGTCTACCATTGTAACACTGTAAAATCTCGGTACCCATCATTTTGAGGGGCTGCCTTTAAGATCAAGCGAGAATACGCAAGAAACAAATGTTGAGGAGATCAGTTTTTTTGGTGGTAAAAGTGGAAACGGCACTGAGGAGGAAAAAAGGGCATGCTGACAATGATACTCAAGTTGTAAATTTTTTTTATAACTCTGGGGAGTTTGCTTACAGTCGAGTAGATTTTCCGCTTAAAGGCACCATTCACCCTAAGTTGAGGGTGTTGAGCTTTTCGCAGCATATAATAGTAGGGCCCCCTATCAATCCAATGCCCAAGTCGCGGCGCAAAATGTCGCTTCGGAAGCGAGAAAATCGCCTCGGAATAGCGAAGATCCACGAGGACCCCCATCCATGCCCGCCCATTTTGTGCGCGCCCATCCACTCACCGTTCCGGAAAGCCGGCCTGTGGGTCCGCCGGAATGGGGATTGTCGGAGTTTTCGCGCATTCTCGACTTCATATTCGGAATCAGGGACATGAGAAAGCCCTGAAACGACAAAAACGCGGAATTCGAAAATCTGGGTGGACGGTGCCTTTAATATAGTGTGCTTGCACAGTTTATGAAATGCGGTAAAATTTGCGCGTGAACAGGTAGCTGCACCAGCACTGCTGGTATCTTGCTCGCCAATTGGTTGTCGTCACAGTCTAAGCTGTTTCCTCACGCGCAAATTTAACCGCATTTCACCTTCTGTGCAAGCAATATTAAGCGGAAAATCTGCTCGACTGTACATTCATAGCGAGCAGCACTCGCACGTAACACCAGAAAATGGTAATACTGTCACCATATTTTTATTGAAGAGACTTCACTTGCATAAGTTCTGAATTATTTGCGTTTTAAGCTATATCCTCGCTCGTGTCATGCGTCTCATTGAGGAGATGATTTCCATGTCGCAGCAGCTTATTTTCTACACACAGGTATGCTATGCGCGTACGTTTTGTTTAAGCTCAACTTGCTTTTAAGATCAAAGTACCCATAGAAACTCTCGACAACCTTCTTCGCCTGCAACCTATGTTCGTGCAGGCCTTGTGGCCTAAGAATAGCCCTTTGTTGCAGTTGCCACATATTACGGATCACCATCTTCCTTACTTTAGGAAGGTTTGTATCGTGGGCTTTTTTTTTCGGCCATTCGTAACAGCCTTCCTATCAAATCACCCATTTCAGGGACGTATATACTCATGTGGGGATCTTGCTGCATTGGATAGCGAGAAGAGAAGAGCATTACTCAAATCATTGTCAGATGAACAATATCGTGATGTATTGGTCGTTCTTTCATCGATGCCGCGTCTCTCCATCCAAACTGAAATCGTTGGTGCGCTTTCCTTTCATATGTAAAGGCTGCTGCAGGAGGAAGCCGCAATATCTTTGGGCGCGAACGCGGCTTTATTAGTTACGTATCCTCACCATTGTAAACCCATTGTCATGCTCTGAGGATAGGATTTACAACGGTGAGGATACGCGCGCCGCGTTCGCGCCCGCTTAAGTGATACTGCTTCTGCGTCTTCGTCATGCAGTAGCCTTTACGCATATCATCGCCGTCGCTCTGCAAGTGACTCGGATGCCTTCACCATGCAAACGTTGAACAAAACTGTGCTGAAATATTCAACGTCTTGTATGGAACCTATGCCCAGGGGTTTGACGCTTTTTCGAGGGGTGGGGGGGGGGGTGCTCGGGAGACGGTCAAGAAGTGCGCTCCAGAGGTCATCAATACAATGGGCGAACTTAGAGGGAGCGTCCGGGCAAAAACGAAAATGTAGAGTACAGGGACGCACGGCCTGGTAAAGCTCTTGCCCAACTGGCAATGCACCAATTTGCTTCTGAAGCGAGAAAACTGCTTCAGAAGTGGCCACCAGAACGCCCCGGCGACCGGGGACAAGTTAGTTCGATAAGCCAGAGTGCGCATGCCGCACCAGTGAAGACTTAGGGTCCCACAAAGACTCTGCGTCTTAGCCATGACGGCAGGCGACAAAATTCAAATCGGGAGCTACTGAAAAAGCCCGTTTTCGGCGTTTTCGTGTCCTTCAAGCTGCATTTTCAGTATCAGTGGGAGGAATAAGCTCAGGTAAGCGAAAAAAAAATTCTATTCGAAATTTTGCCCGGACGCGGCCTATATAGTGTGCTTGCACTGAAAGTGAAATGCCTAAAATTTGCGCGTAAACAAATAGCAGCGCCTGTGACGCCGGCCAATTGCACGCGCAAAAAACTGACACTGCTTGCATGGATACTTGTTCACGCGCAAATTTAATCGCATTTCACCTTCCGTGCGAGCACACTTATTAACACGTTTCGGACCGCGAAATCGCGCGCGGCGAAAAAGAGTGTACCAGCAGTTAGCCAACAAAGGGACCTTATTTCGCAGATGTGGGCTAGATCTGTGATCAGCATGTCAAATAAGCTCCATATCTGAAGTTCTGAGTGAATTTGAAGTGTATGAATTTTGTCGCTTGGGAGGGACTTTCGTGCCTTATTGAAAAATAGGAACAAGAACTCAGTTTCAAATAGCATTTAAAAGTATCCGTGTTGTACATTGTACACATCATTATTGAAACTACGGTTTTTTTTCTCTGAAATTTAAGCAAAAAAAGTTGCGACGTCGCACGCGTCGTTCGCGTTGCCGCACTTCGTTGCAACTGTTATTCGATTTGTCCCCATATCTTCTAAACGAATATCGGCGGCACAGCTCTATAGAGTCATTCAAAAAGTAGGAGCTTAGACCTTTGACATAATAATTTGGACTAAAAGAAAACCTCCTGTAAACGTCAGAAAGATCCTTCAAAGCAGCGTGCTGCACCATGTGCAGCACCGGTCCGAAACGTGTTAAGCGAAAAATCTACTCGACTGTATGAGCTTGGAAGCAAAAAATGACAACTTACTGCTACAAAAACGGAAAATTATGAGGTACAATGATAAAAACAAGGCCCGTTATCGCAACTTGGTCCCTGCGTGCTACGCTACGGTAGCGTTCGCGCATAGATGTTCGTGTTCGTGCTCTCCGAGCTGCATTTTCGGAATCAGCGGGAAGGATAAGCCCAGGTAAGCGAAAAAGATTCCGTCCGAAATCTTGCCCGGACGCTCCTTTAAAACTATGCAGATCTTTCAAGAATGCGGACAAAGTTTTCAGCTTAATACCTGAGGTCACCATTGCCAAGTTTGACAGCTTTCGGTGAAAAGCTGATTGAAATATTTACAAAATTTCCAAGATGCATTCTCAAGGTCTGACCTCCAACATTTAGGTTTTGAATCGATTTCAAGACAATAAGGTTGAGCCACATGCAACGATCTTATATATATCAGAAACTTGAAGGGTAACTAAAACGTTATCACCGCTAAAATTGCGTTGTTCCATGTCCAATTGGCAAGAATCGAGCCTCTTGACATACACTCGCGCTGCCGGACAACCCACCTTGGGGGAAGGGGGGGGGGGGGGGGCACAGCCTTAGAAAAGCAGCATATCTTGATGCTCCAAAAATCGTAGTTCTGCGTCCAAGTGCGATCTGATTTGTTTTTATCTTCTCCCAAGCTTCGGTTGGTCTTCTTGAGTTAACAAATCGCTCACTGTGCTCCTTTCAGTAGAGGGAGAGGATGACGCTACCGAGGTTACAGCTGGATGTGTGGTTACCATGAAGATCACATTAGTCAGAACAAGCTTGCTGGATCCTATTGTAAGTTGGTTTTCTTGCAGCTCTCATAAAGAAGGATGTAATTGAGAGCAGGTACAAGCTATAGATGTGCAAATAGTTTGCAAATATGTTTATCCGCGTTAATGTTTCATCCATCTGAAGGCTGCCGGCTTGGAAGATCAGAGAGTACACGTAGGCGAGGAAGTTGATGGCGGTGATGTGAGCGGCTGCAGTGATCAGGAAGATGAGGAAACTCCATTGGCTGGTGGCGACCATACCAAGGACGAGGAAATCAAGGAAGTCAAGGTTTTTGCTGATTAGTGCCGGAATTCCTTGTTTTTTCCTCTCTTCCCTTTCCATCTCTTCCCCACTGTATTGTTGAAAATCATTTTTTTCTCTGTAGAAGAAGAAACCTTGGGAAAAGAACAAACCCCAGAAGAAGAAGGGTGGTGCTAAAAAGAAGAATCAGAAGCAACTTCCTAAGAAGGTCTGGTTTAAATGGTGATGGTAACTTCAGCAGATGTTTATTGTGCAGATTGTCACTGCTCAAAGCAACGCTCATTCTCCATCCGTCGACACTGAAAACAAAAAGAAAAACAAAAACGAAGAAGACGAAGATGATGAAGACGACGATAATGTGATCAGAATACCTCAAGATATTTATCTATCTGTAGCGTAGCGTTTTAGTCATCGCTATCCTCGTCAGAACTGCCTCCCCAGTTAATCGAGGAGGAAAGCGACTACGACGATGACTGGACGGAGGGCAGCTCAAAAAAAGTGAAGTTTCTGTCATGATCTGAGCCAAACCAATCCCGTGTTTTTTTTTGTAGGTTATTTTCGATACGAAATCGCACAAAACACACATGGTACATTGCCCTTACTTCCCACCAGAGAAATATGAGTGGTGGTATGTTCACGTATCTGTTTGAGCATTTGTGAGTGTTGAGGGCATGATATCACTTTAAGGTGGTTGGTACTGACCATGCTCGACAAAAAACAGCGTCGACTAGTCTGCCCAACGATCTCTTGTAAGACACTTGTCGATGAACAAACTGTGAGTATTTCGAAAATTGATTCAGCCCATACATTATTTTTGCCATAGAAGAACCATTTTTTCTTAGATTTGCTGATTGAGCTACAGTTCATGCAGTTGTACTAAGATTGTATTGACGTAGAGTGGCCCAGAAACTCTAGGAAATGAAGTTTTCATTGACTTTGCAAAAATCTACATGTCCTATGACTTTATAGAGAGAAAAATAGAACTAATATCAGTCAGATTAATAATAGAGTCATGCATGCATCATATTGCGATAACTAATTCCCTGCTGTTGTTCCCCCGTTATTAGAATACGCTCTAGTACTGATTTATTTTCAGGTTGAAATGCGGTTTTCGGCCCCACCAACCAAAGGAATATACCACTTCCAGTTGGCAGTGCGGTCAGATTCGTATATGGATTGCGACTATAATAAAGATATCAGGGCAAGTTTTCAGACTATAGCAGAATCAGCTTGTTCTCTTGCATTTTTTGTGAAAAAAACGCATTAAAGTTTGCGTTTGTAGGCGCGTTTATTTTAAGAGAGTTATGTGTAGATTCACAGCCCCTTGGCTATTTTGGTTGCTCTTATTGTTTGCTCTCATACAGCATAATCATTTGTATGAGCTGTTTTTCAGCTTGAAGTGAAAGAAGCAAAAGAAGTGGTGCTCCCAAAGTATGAGGATTCCGAGGACGAAGAAGAAAAAATGGAACTTTCCAGCGACGAAGAATATACTGAAGGATCAGATTCAGATGAAGAGTAGCACTTCTGAACGCATGGTAGCAAACAATCTTGTATTTGTGCGCCACCTTTCTAAAAAGGATGGTCGGTTGGCAACGAGCAGCCAGTAATCCAGCCTCAGTTCTTTCCTAGGTGGATTCGCACCCTATTATGATTGAGGTCCCACTCCGATCTTTTGCAAAATACCTCCAAGCGCGCTTCTAGCATAAACAGTCACCTTGCCGCCATGGCAGTATGTACTAAAAATTGCACCTTTTTACTAGGATTATGGCGTTCATATACCCCCCATCCGGCATACTCAAGGCGTTTTCCTGATAGACCATTATTATACCGTTTATCTTACACTGCCTCTACAAAATGCTTATTGCGGGCATCTTCTTGTGTCAAACCATTTCATTTGTTCCCTGACTGTGGTACATTTGACATAGAATCATTTATTTACCAACATGGTTTAGATGATATAGTGCTGCTATCAAGTGCAGTTGTTCAGAGTGGATCTTAGCTGTCCGCTTTGGTGAAGTTGGAACAAGTCTGAAGCACCTGAAATTTTTGCATGTAGTGAGCGTCTGAGTAGCTTTTTTCTATATCGGGCTTGGTCTTTTAAGGGTAATAGTAATAATTTTATCAAATGTTTTTTGTGAAATAGAATGCTTTTGAGCAAACGGGGAGAGTATTTTTATTTAACTGTTGTATGATAGGCGAAAAAGACGAAAATATTGTTCACAGGCGGTGTCGCTTCGAGAACTCTAGAATAGCAGACTCATTAATTAGTACTCATTATCCAAGTCTGTACGATGGCGTGACGTTAGTCCCCTATATACACCGCTGTCACCTGCGACCAGTGTTGCATAGTGCTAGTGTCCACTACTAGAGTTACCGTTTACCGGTGTTACCAGTGTAGACCTGTCCCAAGCATCCGTTCTCGTTATTGGTCTGGTGTTTTGAATGAGTGAATGATTAGACTTGCAGTCTATTTCACGTTCGCGATACCGCTGATTGGTGGTTATTTTCTTCTTCACGTCTGAACATAGTAAAATAACCAGAACGGTCACCATCGACATCATCGCTAAACCAGGGCATTCATTCATGTATTTAAAGCTGAAGAAGACCGATAGCAAAGCCAAAACGGTTGCGATGAGCTACAGTAGGCTGGTAACACTGATGAACTGGTAACAGTGATAACCAGGTAAGAGCGATAATGTATGAAAGAGCTCGAGAAGCGAGGGCTTATGTCTGGTTCACTTTCAGCCACTTGCAGTCACTTACTTCATTCAGAGTATCGCTAGGAGTTCGTAGGATTAGGACTTTCAAAATGTCTTGTTATCATTCCGTCAGAACGCAGTCAATGTGCATAATGAGATGCTGTTTTTTTTTGGTTTACAGCGAACTCCTTTAGAAGCCTGCGGTTCATAGTTGGTTAATTTGCAGAGCAGAAGCGTAAAAATTTGCTGAGTGGTCAAGTCGTCGGACGGATATTGACGGTAGTTCAATGAATTTACGCCTTATCACATAAAAATCGGGGTCTTCCATGTACTTCCTGCAAATTGGGCGAGGCCTGTAATCGCCTATATATGACTTTAGAACTGGTTCTGAGTCGAGCTTGAAAACTTCTGACAAAATATATAGTTCTGAGTGGATTGTGAACATATACGGGATTGTCTTGCTTCGAGTTGTCCATGGGGTGGAAGAGCATTCTATTATTTGTGCTAGGATAAAAATAGTATGTATCTTGATGTCTGTATATGGCACGTATGGTTATGTATCATTGCAGTTGGGCATATCTTCTCTGTTCGTACCTTCTCTTACGATTAAAATTCTATGAGAAGTGTTCATTGTTTTTACGTTCAATATTTTTTTATAAAGAATGTAATAGTGTTGCTTGCATGTTTTGTTCATTATATCCTCTGCTGCAGCTGTCAGCTAGCGATCCATCGCAGGTATGGGATAACTCCTAAAGCCCTGGCCATACCGACAAAAAAAAACACCGCGATGTGATTTTTGCAATCTGATAATTGTCATACGCCCTAAGCATGCCTGCAAATCATGCATGTCGATCATGCTAGCTGTCTGGCGCGGCGGATCGCTAACCGTGTTTTCCAAGGCCATACCTGTTCTAGGGATATCCCGCGGTTTGGCCGAAATCTTGCGATATGGCGTCGTAGTTTGAAATCAGCGACGCGGCGATATCGTTGGAATCGTATTTTTTTTTGAAAGTTTTTGAAATGGTTTTTTTCTCTTTTGACTTGTTTTTCGCGAAGATGATAAAATGTGAGGAATATTTCCTAACGGGCCGGGCATACTTCACGCGATTTCAGTCTCGACGCGGTTTGGCAATATTCCAACCGTTGATAATTCATAAGCACATTTCAAATGTACAGAAGACAGGACATTTTATCAGTCCACGTAAGTTATACACACTATGCATGTGCAGTTTGCTAATGTTGGATCTGAAGACTTTTGGCGAATTGCCAAATTGCTTCGCGACTGAAATCGCGTGAAGTATGCCCGGCCCTCAAATTGCACTTCTTTCGTGTTGTGATGCGCGTCCCTTCTAATTCGTGCCATCAGTTGAGGTGATTTTTTTTATTGTTCGAAACTGTAACTGAACAGCATGCGTACCGCGAAAAATTAGCAGCTTACTGAACCGCAGTTACAACCTGAGAAAATTGGCTTTGCATCTTGTATCTATAGGGAGAAAAGTTGAACGATAGATGCAAATGCGCGAGAAGCTAATATGAATTGTTGATGATGAACGTATCAGTATCGAAAAAGAAAGAAATTTGCAAATATAAAGAAATCACGCTGATTACAGGGTCAAGCGCGGGGTGTGGCACGCCACATCTGAAGGGTTGTAAAGGAGTCAGATAGAGGGGAGGGGGTCTTCATGGAGGTGATACAGTGCTGGCCAAAACTATAGATCCACCCTGAAAATTGCCGTAGCTCATCTGCTTCTCAACAAATTGATCTGACATTTGGTACAGCTGTGTATGACAGGCTACTATCAGTAACCAGAACGGATCCCGCTTTCGTTTGATTATTCATGAAAAACAAAAGGTAAAAAAAAGCAGGCTTGGAAGTTGGCCAAAACTATAGACCACCTAAAGTTTCTTTCCACCTTTCGTATCTAAAGCGCACCCAGCCTAGACCTCACAGGAAGCCTGTGCTCAAATTTTTGCCTTCAAAACTGGGTTTAGCTATTTTTGTAAACTCTGAATAATGTGGATGCATTATTTACATAAAAAGAAGATTGTACACTATACTCACGATTTTCGCGAAGTCGCACTTTGCTTCGTAAACAAGGCATAATTTTCGCGGTTCAATGATAATGTAAGGGAATCCCAAAATACTTCTCAAGTGATGCCTTTCCTAATTTTTTGCCACTATTAAGCGGCTAAATAATGAAAACACCCTGTATTGTATGTTGCCTTCTGACTCGCATGAGCATTATGGTCACAAAAACAACTTCAAGGCTTGTTGCTAATCAGTTTTTGCGGGAGTTCCTCAATTAGCCTACATGCTAGGACATGCAAAAATCTGCAACAACTGCATACAGACCCTCATATGTACAAACAATGTCATTACTTCATTTCACGCCCATGAGAACATTGTAGGAAAAATTTGAAGGCATAAATTTGAGCGCAGACCTGCATTTAGGTCTATGTCGGGTGCGCTTTGAATACGAAAACTCAAATTTTTTTCTAGTGCTCGCTCGTTAGGCATCGATAAGATAAGTGAAGCCCTATCGCTCCCAAACCATTTGAAAGACTGCGGATTCACCCATAAAAACACATGCTCGGTAACAAAATACGTGTGAAAGTATTTTTGAGTGAAAAAAAGCAGATAAGCGTTCCTTATAAAGATATGACACAGCTGAACTGAATCGGCTATCTTGAGTTTTGATGGTGTATATGCACCAAAGATTGTGGAAGCCGGGAGTTACTTTGGTGGACTGAAACTTTAAGTGGATCTCAGTGGCGTACCCAGGATTTCGGCTCGGGGGGGGGGACGAAAATTTTTTTCGATGAAGGTGCGTGGCGTCAGCCACGCACTCCGAAAAAATTTTTGGTATGCTTCCTGAAATTTTCGGGGGCTCAGAACCCCGAAATTACTTACAAGTATAAATAAGTCTTTTGCACATTTTTATAACTCATGTAAGTAACTTTCAAAAATTTCCGCCCCCCCCCCCCTCGGTACGCCAGGTGGATCTATATTTGGCCAACTTCCAAGCCTGCTTCTAAAGTTTTAATTTTTTTTTTGAATAATCAAACGAAAGCGGGATCCGTTCTCGTTACTGATAGTAGCCTGTCAAATACGCAGCTGTACCAAATTTCAGATCAATTCGTTGAGAAGCAGATGAGCTACGGCAGTTTTCAGGGTGGATCTATAGTTTTGGCCAGCACTGTAGTGATGTTAGCGACATGATGTCAGTCAAGAATGTCTGATAGGCCCATTGTGAAAGATACCAACACTGATGTTTTGGCCTACCGCCGCACACGCACAGTAAGCATATTAAAAGAATTCTAAAAGCATAAGGACATCATCTTAAATATAAAGCTGAATGTCTGTTTGTATGTCTGTCTGTATGTCTGTACGTATGTTCCGAATAGAATTCCATTTCTGAACCGATCGGGACCAAACTTAGCACACATACACTTCGGGCCCCGGCGGGTGTCATAGGCTACTTTTCGTCATCGATCGATATCGATTTTATCGATTTTTATCGATTTTTTTGCTGAGTTCACCTACGGGGCTGGGAGTTGGCACAAGGGGGTAATCGAGCATGGGGACTCCGAATACAATATTAGTTTTCAGGATTATCGATTACTTTTATCGATTTTATCGATTTTTTGCAAAGTTTGAGCTACGGGGCTGGGAGTTGGCACGAGGGGGTAATCGAGCATGGGACTCCGAATACAATATTAGTTTTCAGGATTATCGATTACTTTTATCGATTTTATCGATTTTTTTTGCAAAGTTTGAGCTACGGGGCTGGGAGTTTGCACAAGGGGGTAATCAAGCATGGGGATTCCGAATACAATATTAGTTTTCAGGATTATCGATTACTTTTATCGATTTTATCATTTTTTGCAAAGTTTGAGCTGCAGGGCTGGGAGTTTGCACAGGGGGGGGGGGGGGGTAATCGAGCATGCTGATTCCAAATACAATATTACTTTTTGAAATCGTCCATTGCTTTTATCGATCTTATCGATTTTTTGCAAAGTTTGAGCTACAGGGCTGGGAGTTGGCACAGGAGGGGTAAGTGGGCATGCTGATTTCGAAAACAATACAGGGAACGGGAAATTAAGTGTAGAAATGGGCACAGGGAAAGGCTGTACAGGGATAGGGATGCGACCTTTGATACAGTTTTTTCACAAGGCCGGGCGGAGCCGGGTAAGCAAGCTAGTTCGTAATAAGCATAACAAACAACGCCTGGCCAAGTTTTAGCGAATTTTGAGGTTTCTCGAATATGGAGGTACTCAAGTGAGATGGTCATTTTCGAACATGTCAACATTTCAAAGGTGAGTGAACTACTTCTTTTTGCACTCATTACAAAATACTTCTACTTCTTTGCTCGCATCATTAATCCCACTTAACCTCCAAATTCCTATTAAGAGCAAGCCAAAATCTCGTTTGTCCCATTTTCAGCTCTTAAATCTCAAACTAGAGATGACCAAACAGGCTCAAATCACTTTTGTGAGAGTTACGAGAATCAGGCTATCGAATATACTTGTTCTTGCCGCCTTCCTTCGCGATTCAAGTAGTAGCGCAGAGTCAGCACATTACCGTAATACAATATTTTCGCGGTGTTTTCCATTTGCTTAGTTAAGGAAAAGTGACTATATTCTTCCGTAGGAGAAATAATTCGAATGAAATTCCTGCTATATGGAGAAGAAGGTTTAGCAGTAGCAACCACATAGAAAAGGTAGAAATTTGAATGCTTTGAAGGTAAGTTAATGGGATGTGGCACAACCGCTAAAAAGCTGTGGCCGCCACAGTTTTTTAGCGGTTGTGCCACACCCCATTAATTTGCCTCCGAAAATAATTTTAGCGAACAAAATAGTTTTCATAGGAGTAATTTGGGCGTGATTCATCTTATTCGCCTTGAGTAAAAGCTGGTGAAAGCGCAGCCATTGGAAGCGAAAAATGGGATAAACGAGATTTTGGCCTGTTCCTAGTTCCGTAGTTTGATGATTATTTGAAGCAGGATTCATGGGGGAATATTGCTTTGTACTTACAAAAAGAATTAGCTAATCCACTTTTGATATATGAATCATGTTTGACAATGATCACTTCACTTGGGTGGTCCAATGTTGGGAACACTCAGAATTTGCGAAAGCTTGGCCCATGGTGGTTATTTGACATGATAATTACGAATATATGCCTAAATATGCATGGTAGAGCCTTTATGTCTTGCCTACGGAAGGCAAACGATAATGCTGGTGGAGGGGGGGGGGCGCATCCGGCGCTTGTTTGCCACACCTCTTGCTCGACCCTGCTTCTTTTGGAGGCTAAAAGAAAATGTGTAGAACGAGTACTGAGGTGTATATTTTCACCTTATCGCTGAATAGGTAGGTAGTATGCCCAGTACCCGCAACCAGCAATATAGTCGCCGTTTCGTCGCCCTGACCATGAAATTCCCCAGCGACGGAATCGCGACGATGAAATCGCTGCACGTATGGCCAGGGCTTAAAGGCACCGTCCACCCTAAGTTGAGGGTGTTGAGCTTTCGGCAGCATGTAATAGTAGGGCCCTCTATCAAACCAATGCCCAAGTCGCGGCGCAAAACGCAGCTTCGGAAGCGAGAAAATCGCTGCGAAATAGCGAAGATGCACGAGGACCCCATCCATGCCCGCCCATTTGTGCGCGCCCATCCAATCAGCGTTCCGGAAAACCGGCCTGTGGGTTCTTCGGAACGGGGATTGTCGGGGTTTTCGAGCATTCTCGACTTTATATTCGGAATCAGGGACATGAGAAGGCCCTGAAACGACAAAAACACGGAAGTCGAAAATCTGGGTGGACGGTGCCTTCAAGGCACAGTCCCCGATTCCGTCATATCGCTACATCCACGCGACTTGGCGTTGCCAGATGTCTACAGATTGATCGTGCGTTAGTGTTAATGCTAAGAGCTGATGATGGTGATTGTATTGTTCTCGCGGTGTAGAGGAAGACAAAATTTGCGCGTGAACAAATAGCTGCGCTTGTAATCCGCCAATTTGCGCGCATCTCACGGTGGCATCTCACGCGTGACCATTTGAGGGACCGTAGATTCGCCCGCAGGAACCATTACTTTTGGATTGGAGCAGGAATCCTCCGTAGAGCACCTTATCCTTCCAACGCTGATTTTGAGGATGCGCTTGCCAAATAGCTCAATGTTGCGTCTTGCAACTCTACTACTGCAACTCTAATCTTCGTATCAAGTTTGCCGAGCCACTTTCTTTAGAAGCGGCGTCCAGGCAAATCTGGACAAATGGGTATCGCCAGCGGAAACTGATTTTGGGAAACTGCGCAGAGTTACAGCATAAGATGAGTTACTCAAGCTCTAGGTCTCCATTACTATCAGCGTCAAGTACAAAATTCCTTACTAATGGGGTTCGAATTTGTACATAAAAGTTTGATTTGCTTTTTCCTTTTTTCTGTAGTAGATATCACTTTTTCGATCTGGACAACCGTCTCCTTTCAGCTTCATTGAATGCCTTGACTATTGGGGAGTCTGCCTACAAGCGAAATTCTTGCAAAAAAGGTGGCACTAGGAAAGTAGATACGTGTACCAGCTTCTTAACATCGTAGTTTGTCTCTAATTGTGAATGTTGCGCCCTGATCAGCGGTTGTTCGTCGTCTTCTTGCTGTGACTTCTCGAGAGCGGGCAAGATTTGTTCTTTTGTGCTTTTGTCAAAGTCTTTCAGCTCCGTAAAATTTGTACAGCCCTCTTCAAGAAGACATGAAGGCAAGAGAGTTATTAACGATCATACAGTGTGCACATTATTTTAGGATGTGCTGTAGATTTTTGTCACCATACATCATGCTGCTTGGACCTGAAAGGCTAATTCAAGTATCAGATGCACAGAACTTTCTCCTTTCTTTTTGCATCATCCAGACGAATTTGCAGTATACAAATATACATACAAATATACTTGAGAAAAAGTCAGACTTATGGTAATCTTGGAGAGTTTCTACTACGGTACGGTCACAGAAATGTAAGCAGGGAAAAAGACCACTGAACTTCATTTTTCAAAGCTCGCCAAAAAAAGTTTGCAAAAGAATTTGAAATGCCGATGCTTAGGTTTTACGACTTAGTTTGTCGAAAATGTACTCGCCATTAACCGAAACTGTTTGCAATAAGAATTGCAAATGTCACCTTCAACATCAGCCCTTGCAGTGTTTCAGATTTACAAGAACATGATAAAACGTCAATAGACTCAATCATACCTAATTTTTGGTACTTGACACAAAATTGTTTCCTGAATCAATGCTCTTCTCAAATCTGAAAATCTGCATTGTAAACTATTGGGTGACTTGAAATATGAGGATTGAAGCCATAATGCAAGTTCGTTGTATCAAATGCATTACATCAAAAGGAGAAAAGTTGATTCTAGAACAGGCCTGAATGATTCAAGTAAATCTTATATATAAAGCTGAATGTCTGTTTGTCTGTATGTCTGTCTGTCTGTCTGTCTGTCTGTCTGTATGTATGTACGTATGTTCCGAATAGAAAATTCCATTTCTGAAGCGATCGGGACCAAACTTGGCACACATACACTTCGGGCCCCGGCGGGTGTCATAGGCTACTTTTCGTATCGATCGATATCGATTTTATCGATTTTTTGCAAAATTTGAGCTACGGGGCTGGGAGTTGGCACAGGGGGATAAGTGAGCATGGGGATTCCGAATACAATATTAGTTTTTAAAATCGTGCATTACTTTTATCGATTTTATCGATTTTTTTGCAAAGTTTGAGCTAGGGGGCTGGAATTTGGCAGGGGGGTGTAATCGAGCATGCTGATCACCCCCACGGGGGTGATCAGCATGCTCGATTACCCCCTGTGCCAAATCCCAGCCCCCTAGCTCAAATTTTGCAAAAAATCGATAAAATCGACATCAATCGATAACGAAAAGTGGACTGTGACACCCGCCGGGGCCCGAAATGTATGTGTGCCAAGTTTGATTCGGATCGGTTAAGAAATGAAACTTTCTATTCGGAACATACGGCGGAGCCGGGTAAGCCAGCTAGTCTAAAATACTACAAAGCAAATCATGGCAGAGCTTGACTGTGAAATGTCCTCCTTTTCAAAGCAATAAAGCGCTGCGATGTATTTTTTATTCCTCATGCTTTAGTGTTTATGCATTGAATTGCGATGCAGTCATGAAATCAATCTTTGTTCCACGTTTATCTGGCAGAGAGATAATGCACACAACTTGCACAAATTTGTTGCCAATTCAAATATTCTTGGATAGATTTCTGTTGCCAAGCAAGGCATTTGAAGAAGTTCGCTCAAATGACAGACGCAGCAAGAGCGTCTGCAAAATAAGTGTTAGCCGTAAAGTGGCAAACATTTCGATGGCTTTGTTTGTGTAGAACTTACGAGCGTAAAAACTTCACTGATATAAGTCAGTGCCTATCACGACCGAAGAAATTGGCTCGGCAAGCTTGATACGGAGATTAGAGTTGCAGTAGTAGAGTTGCAAGACGTAACATTGAGTTCTTTGGTAAGCGCATCCTCAAAATCAGCGTTAGAAGGATAAGGTGCTCTACGGAGGATTCCTGCTCCAATCCAAAAGTAATGGTTCCTGCGGGCGAATCTACGGTCCCTCGTGACCATTTAGTCCGATCTACTAGCCTATGTGTCTTTTCTTTGCTTACCTCCAATATTCTGTCCACATATGAAAATGTAAGGGAAGGTTTCTTGCCCAGTTAATCGGATGAGATCGACAGATAGCTGTCGTTGCCAATCTTCATGGCCAGCGAATTCTGGAATCAAATGCGAATCAGACGCTCTTGAGAAAGCACCTCACTTACCTAGGAAATGTGCTGCCACATCGGCGTAATTGACCGCTAGTAGGTGTTTTGCCCTTTGGCATGGGACACACTGTATCAACGTGTACATCATGATTGGGAAACGTCTGGCTTGGCGTTCGATGTAGCCTGTAAAACTAGCTATCATCCATTTTCTGACTAAGAGACACGAGTATGCTTTGCGTATCAATTGATTGATTAACAAGTTTGAGAGTGCATTCCAACGCGTTTACTATACAGTGTTACCTTCAGCCACCGTCCCGCCAACTTATAGTTAGGCGTAAAGTTAATTGTGCGTGTATTGCCGAAATTTCATACATTTGACGCCTAAGGCCTAGGGCATAGTGACAAAGACCTTTTCGCGCTGCGATTTGTGTAAAACGACAAATGTTACGCATGCTTGCATGTCCTCGTGTCTACTACGGCGGTTGTGGTAGTCGTCCGGCACGACGTATCGCAGAATCTTTTGGCTAGGGCATAGTTCTGCAGCGATAATCGCTGCGATTTCGGCAAAACCCAGCGATGTCCCGTCGCGCGTGCTGCACAGGCGACTTGGCGATATCGCTGAGGTGTGAGGGGGATCTTGAGAATTTTTTATATAGGCGTTCATGCTTCACTTGATTTTGTTTGAAAAAGAAATGGAATTTGTTTAAAGTAGCTGTACAAAGAAACTTCTAGTATCGATGCCTCCTAACCATAACTTATTTTTGAGGAGATGGTTTTTTGAAGTGTCTTCTGGGTGATTTTTGTGTTAGAGTCTTGGCTTTTCGCAAAGTAAATGCACATTATCGCTTTGCTTGTTCGTATATTCTTACGTTTCGCTGTCCTTACGAATACAAAAGAATTCTCGTCCTTAATAATGCACGAATACCAAACAATTATGCTTGTGTCTTTGCTATCTTCGCAGTGATGCTGTGCTTGACTTTTTGAAAAGGCGTTTAATATGACTCTTTGCTAAAGCACTACAAAATCCACGCACTAGCTTGTTCCACCTATAAATTTGGCGAAGAGTGTCTCAATAGTAGCTGTTGGCTCGCAGAGGCCGACTTTCCCAGGTGAGCTTCACTATGCTTAGAACTGGTAAGCTCGTGAAAAATGGATTTTTAGGTGGGCAAAACGTGAGGATTCTTTGTATTCGATTTCATCACGATCGCATGAGGGCTTTATGCTGAGAGTGGAGTTGAATGACCCTTCGCACGAGAATAGTCTGCTCAATTTGCGTGCACCTGCCCTGTGTGTACAAAGACATGAAATCGCGAGCACTATGCCCGTGCACGCGCGACGGACGATTTGGTCTTTGCAATTTCGTCGTCCAGACCACCCAAATCCCCGACGATGAAATCGCGACGACGAAATCGTGATCCCTATGCCCGTTGCCTAACCAAAAAACGGCGTTACTTGGAGGAAACGCTCATTTCTAAGTTTTTGGGGTATTTTCAGCCGGGCAATGGCTGATTCCGTTGTAATGTTTTGTGAATACTTTTCATAAGGATCGAGAAAAAGGAAAATGGGACTTGATAATAAACACAGAAACATGCTTACATCGTTGTAAGTGGGAATTCAATGCTTTTATGTACAGTCTAACGTTGCTCTAAGCAGAAACAAGAAAAGAAATGGCGAAAAATACGTCACATTCTGAAACTGTATGGTGCGGACCGCAAAACTAGGTACCGTTGTGATATCGTCGATTCGTTGACCGCACGGACTGCTCAAAGGCTACGAAACACGCGCGGCGCGGCTGAATTGTCGCGAGAGCACCATGTACAACGTCAAATTTGTACCAGAGCAAGCGTTTTATCTCGCGGCGCGTGCTCCATGCCCAGTCCGTGCGGTCAACGAATTAACTGTAGATTGAATTTGAGAAGAATCTACGATCTAGTTGTCATTTTAGACTAATTTGTTGTTTGGCCATTTGATTCGAGTGAAGAGTGTACCATATACATATATAGTATACCAATATAAATTTTCATAAATAAATTTGCTGAAGTGCGAACTTATATTAGGTTGTCCGGAAATTAATGTCCGTTTTGAATTTCAACCGCGATAAGTCATAACTTCTCATTTCTAGATAGTATGCAAAGTACCATTCGATAGAGCAAAGCATGCTCTACAAGACGGCATTACTTTAGCGACAGCTCTGATCCATTTCGAGTTTCAAGCCAAAAATCAAAAAGGTTCAACTGCTCGAAAAATCGAGAAAAATCGCAACTCTGCTTATAAAAATCCTACAAAAGTTCTAACTTGCCCACGTAAACACTGTCTACAAAGACATCTATATACGCCGTTGCCGTATTTTTTTCTCTGTTAGAAATCAAGAAATCGGAAGTTGTCGTGCATTTGCCAAAGTGATGCTGTGCTGTCCCCAAATAGGTAGTTGTATACTACAAAGTTGTAGAAGTGCAAATGTAAATTTTCAGCTCTCTGTAAGCTATTTTCGAGAAATCTGAATTTCAATTTGGACCCCTTGACTTGGGAAATCTATATTCGATATTTCTCGAGAACTAAAGCTTGCACAGCTGAAAATTTACGTTTGCACTTCTACAGGTTTGTAGTATACAACTGCTTATGTGGAGACAGTACAGCACCACTTTGGCAATGCACGACAATCTCCAATTTCTTCATTTTAACAGAGGAAAAAATACGGCAACGGCGTGTACAAATGTCTTGTGTAGACAAGGTTTACGTGGGCAAGTTAGAATTTTTGTAGGATTTTTATGAACAGAGTTACGATTTTTTTCAATTTTTCGGGCATTTGAATCTTTTTGATTTTTGGCTTGAAACTCGAAATGGATCAGAGCTGTCGCTAAAGTAATTGCCGTCTTGTAGAGCATGCTTTGCTCTGTCGAATGGTACATTGCATACTATCTAGAAATGAGAAGTGTATGACTTGTTGCGGTTGAAATTCAAAACGGATATTAATTTCCGGACAACCTTATATATGTTCGCACTTCAGCAGATTTATCTATAAAAATTTATACTGGTATACCATATATGTATGTATATGATATACTATATATGCTCTGATGGCATTTAAATCACTACAAGCACCGAGATCATCGTGTTAAATACACCAAACATTAGCACTAGATCTTGCAAGCATAATTCTTTGCAACTGTCACCCGAGCGGGGATGCTTTTGCTGGCTAACGACCATTTGTTTTTCTTCCGCATGAAAATGTCCGATTATACTGGGCTTATCAACTGTAGTGTCTGGCGCACAAATAACACTGCGAATGATAAGCCCTGCACAGTCGACTGCCGGAATTCCCGCGAGCAGGCTGCCCGCATGAATCATACAAAATCGCTCGCCTTTTTGTGATCTCGGTTCAATAAAACTTGGTTGGAGGTCGAATGTTGTAGTGGTCTGAGGCGCCGCTATGTCCAGATTGGACGCAGGTTTGATCCCGCCCCTGGGCCAACTAAGCTCTCTACCCCTCGGAGACGGTAAATCGGTACCAGAGTAATTTTCGGAGGATTAAAGCACTGACTTGGTAATCGACTGGCCCCCGCAAGTAATTGTAAAGGCTCGCACGCATACATTTGCCTCTTCGACTATGAAGTAGTGTGCGTTCGGCGCATGCCCGCAGACGGTATTGAAGACGTCAAATCCTGTATCCTTTATCCTTCAAAACTTGGTTATCGTCCGACAGTGAACTTTGTGAACATAGCATCTCACTGAATTTGAAAGTCCTTCTATCCGCAAGGAGGCACCCCTACGACTACTGCAGCAACGAGAAGGCCCGTTAAGAAGCAGAAATAATAAGACAGTAAGAGAAATTTAGAAAAAAAACAAGCACAAATGAGTGATTATGATACTGATTATGATACTCAATCAAAGCTACGTTTGTATCTTCATTATTATGGATGCGGATTCGTCTAATGAGAGAAGACTAAATTTCACAGCAGGCGTAAGACATTCAAAAGTATCATCCTGGATTGGCCCCTGAAAAACCTATGCAAAAAAAGCAAAAAATCAATCGAAATGACGACTCTCAACAAAGAGGTTCGTCTGCTTCGGAGTTGGTTTCATTTGCCGTAGTGGGGAAAATCGATCCAGCTCTGATATTGCGGCATTCTCGAAATTGAATGAGGCATGTTAGTGGAAACCAACGATCTCTTTGATTTCTGGACATTTTGCGATATCATGAGACATTTCCGAAGAACGAACTGTTTGCTGGGAACAGCGTTTTCGAGGTGATGCCGCCGTTCGGTGCGTTAGGATCAAATGTATGAGATTTTGGCAACACATGCACAGTTGACTTTACCCTTAACTTACTGTAAGGGTTAGGGCATAGTATCCACGATTATTGCGTCGCGCTGCGATTTTGTAAAACGACAACTGCCACTCATTATTTGCTTGCCGACATGTCTGCTACGGCGTTTGTGGTAGTCGTCCGGCTCGACGGATCGCAGAACGTTTTTAGCTAAGGCATAGTTAGTCAGTGACAACTGCTGCGATTTCAGCAGATCTTAGCGATGTCGCGTCGCGTGTGCCGCACAGGCAACTGGGCGATATGCTGAGGTGCGAGAGAGATCTCGATAGTTTTTACTAGGCATGCATTGTTCTTTCGCTAGTTCATATAAAAAAAGGAAATCTTTTCTAAAGTAGGTGAACAGAGAAACTTCAAGTTTTGAAGCTCATTCTCATGATTATGAATTGTCATGTGACCAGCTCTTTCACCTAAACAGTCTAAAACTGTTCGTTTTTGAAGTGTATTTTCTAGGGTGATTAAAGTGTCGAGGTGTTTTCTTTCTGCAAATTGAATATGCTATACCATTTTCTTTGAGTGGGTATCCTCAAGTCTCTACCCGCATGAATACAGAACAAATTGTTCAATGTTACTATATTAGTACAAAACGGTTCCGTTTTTATATTTTTAGCTCGGTGCTGTGTTTGATTTTTTCCGAGAAGGCAGCAGCAATTTTTTGCCAAAACACTACGGAACCACGTCATCATTCGTATTTTTGGTTTTTTTGTGATTGCTTGTTCCGTCAAAAACCTAGTAAAGGTATTTACTGCAGCTGTTAGCTGTCAAAAGAAAACATTTGCAGACGAGAATTTTCTGAACTAATATGCTTGTGAGGTGAATAATGGGCAAATTATGGAAATTTTTTGTGATTGTGTCTCAT